AACCTAGCAGAACAATTTACATTAGCTCTCTAGGCTTGAAAATAATCCTTTGTTTTCTGAGACCATCAGGGCAATGGCCCCACCCTCCAGACTCTGGGTGTTGGTCATGCTCTCTGGATTCTGGGTGGAGGACCCTCAGCCCTGGGCTTCAGCTTTGTCTTCCAGGCCCACTGGGATGGTAACTCTGCTCCCTCGGCTTTGGGCGCCCCCTTTCTCCTAGTTCATCTGAGTGGCAAATCCACTCCCTCGGCCCCAGCAGGCCCTATTCTGCCCCTTGAGCATGGGAGCCCCACTCCATCTGCTTTGAGTGGCAGCCCCATCCCCCTGGCACACCTTCATGGCAGCCCCACACTCCGGAACCGAGTTGGCAAAGATCTGACTCTTTGAAACCTAGGATGCTGTGGCCCCACCCTTTGAAATCCCAGAAGTTATGGCACCACCCTTTGAGACCTAGGTAGCTCTGCTTCCCTTGCGCTTTCCCACAGTTCTGCTGATTTCCAAGCTGATCCAGGGATGGTCCTTTTCTTTTCTTGGAGGGACAACAGATGTAGCTCCGTTGGCCTGTTTTCCTGCCTGTAGAATTCCAAGAGGCAGACAGATTCTCTGCTTTCGTTCTTTCTCTGTCCCCTTAAGTCTAAGCTGATGGGTTTTCTGCTGTAGTAGTTGGTTAGATCCATCAGCCACAGGCTTCATATCTTTAACTAGAGTTTGTGTAGCCACATCCTTGGTGAACATCCTAGGACTCAGTTCATTTTTAAGTCCATCTCCTTCCTCTCACATTTTATAATAAGTGGAAAGGAAAAACCACGCGGCCCCTTTAAAATCTTGCTTAGAAATTTCATCAGCTAGATATCCAATTTCTTCACTTACAAGTTCTACTTTCCACCAAACATCTGAACATAATTCAGACAAGTTCTTTGTCACTGCATAAAAAGTATCGCCCTTCCTCTATTATCCAATCATATGTTCATCACTTTCTTTTGAAGCCTCACCAGAAGCAAATTTAACGTCCACATTCTTAGCAACATTCTGCTGCTGGCATCATATGTATTCTCTAAGATGACAGTTTCTACATAGCTCTCCTTACTTCCTTCTGAGCTCTCATCAGGATTGCCTTTGATGTCCATAATTCTACCAACAGTCTCTTCAAGGCAATCTAGGCTTTTACTATTAGGTACCTTAAAACTCTTCCAGCCTCTATCATTACCCAATTCCAAAACCACTTCCACATTTTAGGTATATGTTAGAGCAACACCCCACTCCTGGTACCAAATTCTCCTAGTTATCTAGTACTGTTGTAACAGAAATACCACAAGTGGATGGCTTTAACAAACAGAAATTCATTTTGTCACACTTTAGGAGGCTAGAAAGTCTGAACTAAGAGCACTGACTCTAGGGGAAGGCTTTCTCTGTCGGCTCTAGAGGAAGGACCTTGCCTGTTCTGAGCTTCTATTCCTGGGTAATCTTTATGTGGCTTGGCATCTCTCTTCCTCCATCTCTGCTCTCTCACTTGCTTCTTTATATCCCAAAAGACTGACTCAAAATATGCCCTCATTAACATAAAAAACATAACTTAAAATTCATTAACATAACCTAATCCTGCCTCATTAACAAAACACAACCCATTCACAAATGGGATTATAACCACAGGCAGAGGTTAGGATTTACAACACATATTCTGGGGGGACACAATTCAATCCATAACAAGGTGTTCGAGTTAGGGCTTCAACATATCTTTCTGAGGGATACCATCCAACCCATAACAGGCTCTGCTTAGCACCCTCCCCAATTAATGCCCTTCCCACTTGCAAAATAAATTCATTCCCTCACAACATCCTCCAAAAGTCTTAACCCATTCAAACCTTAAGTCTAAGCGCAAAATCTCATCTAAATATAATCAGCTCAAAAGTTCCAAATCTCATCTTCTAAATTAGATATGGGAGACTCTGGGTATGGTCCATCCTGGGACAAAATTCCTCTCCATCAGTGGGCCTACAAAATCTAGAACACAAGTTATCTGCTCTCAAAGTACAATGGTGGGACAGGTATACGACAGACATTCCCATTCCAAAAGGGAAAAACAGGAAGGAAAAAAAGCCACAGTTCCCAAGCAAGTCTGAAACACAGCAGGGCAAATTCTTAGATTCCAAGTACCGAGAATAATTTTCTATGGCACAATCTGCCCTTTGGGGCCACAGACGCCCCAATGGCCCTGGCCTCTAGTCCCCTGGAGAACCCATCAGAGCCTCTGGGCCCTTAAAGGCTATGCTGGCCCTGCCCTCTCAGCCTGTGGCAGTGGCCCCGACCTATCAAACCAAGACAGTGGCTCTACCCTCAGGGCCCTCAGTGGTGGCAGCCCTGTCCTCTGGACCTGAAGATGTGATGACACCACTCCTTGGACTCAGAAAGGTGGCCAAGACCTCTGGAACTGAGGAGGTGGTAACACTGCTCCACTGGGGCCACACCATCTGTCATTTTTCCCTTTTCTTTAAGGATAACACATGTTCATACCCTAATAGCTCTGTCAGCCTGCTCCTTGCCTGTAGAGTCCCAGAAGTCCTACAGCTTTCCTTCTTTTGTTCCATTTCTGTCTATTTCCGTCCAAGCTAGCAGTGTTTCTGCTGAGATGGTTGACTGGATCAATGTATTGCACACATAATTTCTCCAACAAAAATTTGTCAAGCCACACCCTGGCAGTTCTCTCCAGAGCATGCTTTCTCATTTTTTACAGTACGATCAGGCTGACAATTTTCCAACTCTTCAAGTTCTGGTTCCTTTTTGCTTAATGGTTCCTCAATTTATCTCTCTCCTCTCACATGTTACTATAAGCAACAAAGAGAAATCACGCTGTGTCTTCGACACTTTGTGTGGAAATCTCCCCAGCTAAATATCCAAGTTCATCACTTGTAAGTTCTACTTTCCACAAAAGAGTAGAATACAATTCAGAAACTTCTCTGCTACTTTATAACAGGGATCACTTTTCCTCCAGTGTCCGAAATACGTAAGGAACATGTTTCCTCATTTTTGTGCTCACTAGAAGCACCTTCCATGTTCATATTTCTAGCAACATTGTGTTTATGATAATGTATGTATTCACTAATGTAGACGTTTTCTCTGCAACTCTCCAAACTTCTTTCTGAGTACTCATCAAAATCACTGATACCCATAATTCTACCAAGAGTCTCTTCAAGGCAATCTAGGCTTTTACTATCAAGCACCTCAAAACTTTTCTAGCCTCTACCCATTACTCAAATCCAAAATCATTTCCACATTTTTAGGTATTTGTTACAATATCACCCCACTTCCCAGTACCAAAATTTGTATTAGTTTCCTAGGGCTGCCATAACAAAGTACGACCAACTGGGTGGCTTAAAACAACAGACACATATTCTGTCACAGTTCTGGAGGCTAGAAGTGTAAAATCAGGGTGTTGGCAAGGTTGGTTCCTTCTGGGGGGCTCCGAGAGACGGTTTGTTCGATGTTTCTCTCCTAGCTTCTGGTAATTTCCTACCAATCCTTAGCATTACTTGGCTGGTCGATGTATCACTCCAATCTCTGCCTCGGCTGTCATATGTCATTCCTTCCGGTGTGTCTCTTCTGATAAGGCCACCAATCATATTGGATTAGGGCCTATCTTACTGCAGTATGACCTCATGTTAACTAATTATATTTACACAGATCCTATTTCCAAACAGGGTCACATTCATAGGTACTAGCGGTTAGGACTTCAATCTTCTTTTTGCTTATATACAATTCAACCCATAATACCTAGGGATATGGAAAACGGTCCAGGTTTGCTCTAACTACACCCTTACTCCCAACTGGACATTCTACAAAATAGACTCACATTATCATGACTTAGCATCATGAGTTAGTAAGATCTATCTTTCCTACTGCTAGATTGTAAACCGAAGCCCCAAAGTTAGAGGTATGGCTTACTTCATTAACACTAAATGCATCTGTGTTCTTATTTTTCATGTTACTGTATCTCATATATAGTATCATATAGTCTACAAACAATTTAATGGTCTGAATCATTAAAAAGTAACTGAGTATTTCATCATGGACTCCAATCAATTTTTCAAATTTATATTTCTAATCTTCATTATGAAACTGGAAATCTGGGGTTTTTTTTTTTTTCTTCTCCTCCTCATGAGGTACCTGGAGGTTCCAGTGGTTCCAATCTTTGTTTGGATCCAAGTTAAGAGAGAAGGAACTAGATTATACATGTCGTATCCTAATTCCCATTCTTTAATAGTATACATAAATTTCCCAAAGCTAATAAATTCAAAAGTTTGGTCAAAAGACTATCATAAACATTCAAGTGCAGTTGTTAAGAGATGACTTTATAATTGATTTCCAGGCCCAGAAGACTGCATTTCATTTCTTTTTGCTTAAATCTGAGCAAGATGGCACTGCTGTCACTCTTCCTATACATTTTCATGTCACTCCCCAACTCCCATTCTTAGAAGCATCCTCTCACAGCTGCTACTGTTATGGTTAGCAAAGAAGGTGCTGTGCCACAAAAAGGCAAGACAAGAAATTCGTAACATTCAAAGAATGGAAACCATCCAAGTGTCCTTCAACAGGAGAACAGTTAAACTATGGTACATCCACACCAAGGAAAACTACTCAGCAGTATAAAGGAACATGAAACAATTTAGATGATCCTCAAAGGAATTATGCTCAGTGAAAAAAGAATCTCAGAAGGATACATATGTATGATCCCATTTATATAACATTGGTAAAAAAACAACTACAGTGATGAGGAACACAGTAGTGGTTGCTACCTATGAGGAGGTAGGTGTGGCTATAAAAGGGTAGCATGAGGGAACTTGCAGTGATGGAACTGTTCTGTAAGTTGATTGTGGTGACAGTTACATGCATCTACATATGTGATAAAATTACACACATAAATGCAAAAATAAACTTCATGAACAGGTCAAATATGTTTTCATGTATTACCCTTCCTTCTTTAGAAAAAAAAATTTTTATTTTACCTGTGTTGCAGTTGGATAGGCCTTCTTTCGTCAGATCAATTACAGAATCAAGTTTTTTCTTCTCTATAGCCTGAAAAGTTATTGTTAAAAAAATAAGGATTTGCCTCAATAGCAGAAAAGGTTTTAAAAAAACAAAACACACATAATCTGTAATTACCGTTTAGAGGCTTCAAAAAGAACACTGTATAAATTTCTTATGGTTTAATTTAACCCCACAATGAAAGAGAAGCTCTTATATTGTATGGTTTCTGAGACTAAAACTGAGCAAAGTCTAAACGAATTAATTTGGTAAAAAAGTATGGTTGTGAAATATATTTATCCTTAGCAGTTTTCTTTTTAATACGTAAGTTCGACTGGAACCCGGTTATGTTGGTAACTAGTAAGGCATTACTTTCCCAGAGAATGAATCTCCCTAAGAATGAATGACAAAGCTAAGACATCCAGTATATAGCAGCACTAAAGTTCTTAGAACTAATATATTCAAACAAACGATATTCAGAGACAGTATTTATTACCCACCGTAACATCCATTTCAGCATCAGGTGAACCGCTGGAATTTCTTGATGTAATTTTTCTAACATCTGAAAGAAAATGATTAAAATATAAACACATTTAACACATTTGTTAGACTATTAAATGTTTACGGACTTTGTAATGAATGCTGAAACACAAAAAGAATGGAGATGCTAATTAACTGTTAATTATATAATCATAAAAAATAACTTAATTGACTTTACCTACTCCAAGATTGATGATCCAGTTAAAAAATGAAAACTTAATTTTGGTTCAAAAGATTTTTCAAAAGTACTTCTCTCTCTATAATCTTACAATTATATTAACTCTTTTTTGAAAATCTATTTGGAAATTAATTAGCATCTGAGAAAATTGGAAATGTATACATTTTGAAATTAACAATCATTAGACCAGACTGCCTGAGTCAGCTGAGGAACAGTCTTCCTGGAACTGGTAGGAAGCCTCAGATAAAGGCCTAATATACCCTGTAACACATTTATACCTCACAATCTTACGTCTAAACTTTGGGGGAAATTAAGTAGCTGTATAAGTGGAAACAATACCTTCTGAAATTAAGACGCAAATACTCTAACATGCTGAAAAATGAAACGGAAATGGAGATTTTTGGCTAAGAAATTATGAGCCAACAACATGGATATTTAAGAGAAAGAAACGTTATCACTGCAAAATCAAGATTAAAGCTGTTTACGTGTTACAAGATAGAAACTTTAAAAAGCAATAGAAGTATTATAAAACAGCAAAAGTTAAAAGTTATCAAAGATTCTAAAGAACACCCAAAACATTATATCTTAAATAGACTATAAGATAACTTAACAGATTAAAAAAAAAGACAAACTAAAAACACACCACCGCTACTACCAACAGAAGGCCTGAAAAAACAATTAAAAATAATATACAGGCAGTCCACGGCTATCAACATCTGACTCACGGACAACTCGTACTTGCCCGTTAATGTTGTGTAAATTTGCTCTCACTCTGCAACGATTAAACCAAACTCTACTGGCAACAAATTTTTCATCACAATCCCCTTCACTTGCTGCATGTGTAGATTTTAAAACACCTGAAAAGGTTGGGAGCCTTTTCTTGCACTGAAGTACACATAAGGCTAAATAAGAACCATATGCACCTGTTCCAGCTGCAATACAAATTCAACTTAAAGACACAGTCAGGAACAGATCTCGTCTGTAATGCGGAGACTGCCCGTACATAGAAAAGTCAACTAGTTTTATAACTTGTAAAGTCATTAAACAGAGTAAAGAAACAAAAGGTCATAAACTGATAAAACAAAAGGTTAAAAAGAATCTTCAATCATATTAAATATTATTCACACAATAATACAGATATAAATTAGAACATTTTAAAAAGCAGAATAAAATTTATTTTATTAAAATATATTACCCAATTCTCTATTTTAAACACTGATTTGGGGCTTTCTAATTTGATAGATCATATTAATAACAACTTAAGATACCTGTTGGATTTGATGTTACTGAAGTTGTCAAATTAGGGCTTTCCACAGAAATCAACATAACATCATCGTTACTAAAATGATAAAAAATAAAAATCATAAACTAAAACATGCAGTTACAGCCTTTAACATGCAATCGATGGTTAGTAATTCTTCTAACTTAACATTTTATAACTGACATATTTTAACAGGACAATTGAAGGGTATGTTGGTTAAGGTTATGTGTCAACTTCGCTAGGCCATGATTCTCAATGGTTTGGCAGATATTATGTACTCATCCTCCCTTTTGTGATCTGATGTGAACACCCAATCAGTTGAAAGGGGAGTTTCCTCGGGAGTGCAGCCTGCATCTGATATATACGGATGTTCTGGCAAAGCTTGCTCTCTCTGGATCCTGCATCTGACTCATCATCCTCTGACCTCTCTGGCTCTTGGGATGTGAGCCAGCAGCCTGCTGTCTGATCCGCCGATTTTGAGATCGTCAGCCTTTGCAACCACGTGAGTCTGGAGAGCCCTCCAGCCTGATGTCTGACCCACGGATTCGGGACTTGTCAGCCTCCACAACTGTGTGAACCATTTCCTTAAAACAAATCTCTCTCCCTATATATACACATATGCTTCACTGGTTTTGCTCCTCTAGAGAACCCAACCTAAGACAAGGGGGTAAATGGAAATAATAAAACCAAATATCCAAGAAACCTCATGTATTACCAATTATATAACCAAAAGTTCTTGGGAATCCAGTAATAACAGACCCTTAAAACTTAGTAGGGATGCATTCACAATAAATTCAAATATAAAATACACAAATGTACAATACACATAAATACACAAAATATACAAATATCACTCTAGCACATATACTTTCCTTCATAAAAATAAAACAACATATAACTGGAAAAAAAGCTATTAAGACACTTTGAAGGAGCCCTGGTGGTACGGTGGTTAAGTGCTTGGCTGCTAACTGAAAGGTCGGTGGTTCAAACCCACCAACTGCTCCTCAGGAAAAAAGATGTGGTAGTCTGCTTGCATAAAGATTACAGCCTTAAAAACCCTATGGGGGCAGTGCTACTCTGTCCTATAAGGTCACTATGAGTCTGAATTGACTTGATGGCTTTTTTTTTTTTTTAAGATACTTTGATTCTTACAGGTACAGGACTAATTTTATAAATAAAGCTATTAAAAATAAACTCTGCCACTACTCTACATTATATCACTATAGTAACAACAGTTACCACAAATTTGTTAAACTGTGGCAGTGATGATGATAAATTATGCTGATTATGGTTATAGAATATCCTGAGCCAGAAGACGTCTTCTGCTGCTACTTTGAGCCTGATTCCACTTTCATGAGTTTGCCAAGCATTTTAATCGGAATGTTAGTAAAGAAAACCTTGAGACAAATTTTATTAATAGATGAATTTTCTATACAGTTTAGTCATACAATTTCTTGGTAGATATATTTTCATCATTTGTATTTAGGTCTGTGATTCATTTTGAGTTAATGTAATTCTCAAATATATAGTGATACAAGAGTCGAGGTTCACTTCTCCCCTCTAGCTATTCTAGCAGCATTTGTTGAAAAGACTCTTTACCTACTAAATCACCTTGGCACCTTTGTCGAAAAACAACTGAGTACATTGTGTACTCTTCATTGATCTTAGGTCTTCCTTACTATAACAGACCGTTGCCTTAATTACTGTAGCTTCACAGTTACTCTTGAAGTCCAGCAGTATAAGTCTTCCAACTTTGTTCTTCTTTTATAGAACTGTTTTTACTCTTCAGGTTTTTCACCTAAGTTTTTAATCAGGTTGTTACTCTATACAAAAAAGGCTGCTGGGATTTTGATTGAGATTGCATTAAATGTATAGAACAATAGAAGTGAGGTCTTAACATACTGAAATTTCTGATTCATGAAACATGGTGTAGTCTCACCATTTATTTAGGTCTCCTTTAATTTTTCTCAGTAATATTTCCTCATTTTAAGTTAGCTCTTGTACATATTTTGGTAAGATTATCTGTTAAGTATATGATGTTATTTTATGGTACTGTAAATGGTATTAATTTTAAGCTTCGAATTCCAATTGTTTGTGGCCAGTACATAGAAAAACAGTAGGTTTTTAATCAGGGCTATGAACCAGTTCATTCTGGTTAGAACTCCTGCTATGAATTTGCATTTCCACCCCAGATCCCCAGGTGATTCTTATGTATACACAAGAATGATGATGTATATAAAAATCATATACAAGAAGTAATTTATCCCTTTGGGAGCAAGGGAGAATAAAGAGAACAGGATACAAGGAAAAGATTAGTCCAAAGGACTAATGGCCACAGCTACCAAGGCCTCTGCCAGACTGAATCCAGTACAGCTAGATGGTGCCTGGCTACCACCACTGACTGCTCTGACTGGGATCACAACAGAGGGTTCTGGACAGAGCTGGAGAAG